CTTTCTTTCTTTCTTTTCTTTCTTCCTTTCCTTCCTTTCTTTTTATTTTCTTTTCTCTGTTCATTTCACTTCCAGAGTAAAATTACTGTTGCTTCCTCCTTCTTTGGCCATTCTTACCTTGGAAAATGGAATGGGGAGGTGTACATTCCCAAGTTAAGGATTTAGCATGTTGCGTAAAGTCAACGAAGGGTGGCAATGCAGGACTCAGCTAAGGCCCTGGACCCTTTCCAGAGGCTGAGTATCAGGGAAGGCCTGTTTTGGCCATCATTTAAAGGCCATTGACCAACCCTACATCTGCATTGCAGCCGCCCCTGAGGAAGTGCACTTAGCATAATTATAAATGAAGGACTAGCTTGTGCACTGAATCATCCTCAACTCCTCTTCTGCATTTCAACAGAGGACGGAAATTAAAGATTTCTGTAATAGGCTGATTAGATGCTGGATGTGAGATTTGCCAGTTCTAATTTGACAAGTTTCTGGCAGTTTAAACTTGTGGGCGAATTATCTGTATCTTTATATGCCAGAATTTTTTTTCCCTCCCCCATGTTTCGAGTCTCTCTACAGACTGAAATTTTGCAATTGGCTCTAGAACAGGGCAGCAGCAACCACACCCAAACAAAAAAGAAATTGAGAAGCTTCAGTGGTTGCTGCAATGAGCCAGATTCACACATGCGTGTAAATCACTCCCAAACTTTCTGTTTGATTCCTTGAATTGCTGTTTTCAGGTGAACTAAACTTGGTATTAAAAAAAAACCTGGTGATTTTTATGACATTAAATCAGTGGTGGAATTCCATTTTTTTTTACTACCAGTTCTATGGGTGTGGCTTGGTGGGAGTGGCAGGGGAAGGATACTGTAAAATCTCCAATCAGAGGTGGCATTGGCCGGTTCTCTGAGCTACTCAAAATTTCCACTACCGGTTCTCCAGAACTGCTCAGAACCTGCTGAATACCACCTCTGCATCAAATGTAACGGAAGGGCACTCTTGGGACCATCTAGCTCACCCTTCTTCCCTGTGCAGGAATCCAAATTCCAGGACCCCTGATAGATCACACTCCAAATTCCTTTTGAACATGCCCAGAGAACAGAAAATCACCTTCTCTCTTGGTCATCACTTCTACAGTTGAACTCGGACTTTTTTCGTCTTTCAATCAGAATTTGCCTTCCGTAATTTAAATTGATATTCTCCATTTTGTAGGTCAAACATTCTTCTATGGATCACCTTTGTTCCTTACTTTATTTTTAAAAAAATGGCATCATAGCCCTCCCCTTCTCTCTGCCCATTTCTTCTTCATTTTCCATGCAGGATCTGGTGGGAATTCATGGTATCATCCAGCCACATTGTGGTGCTGGGTCACTAATCTTCCACAACCACAAGATGGCTGAGATCAGGCTGATCTAAATAAATAATGGGAATGGCCTCTTTGTTTCCAGCCTTAGGTCTCCTCAGTGCCTTTTTTACCCTCATTCTAGTTGTCTGAATGTACTGTCAGATCAGGGGGTGCTCACAGGGTATGGCTGAAAAAGTCAAGAAAACAGCCATGGATGGTACAATCAAAGGTCCACTGTTCTTTTTTTTTTTTTTAAGTGTGTCATCCTGCAGAATTTTGATTGCACCATCATGGCTGCTATCTTGATTTTTTTTC